GAACTAAATGTCAAAAACAGATAGTTTTTCCAACATTTGAGCTCCGATACTCAAGTCAGTGCTCTGTCAAAGAGTGGGAAGGAGGAAAGGCAAAAAGTATGGAAATTAGAGTTCCAATTAGTTTTGGAGTACCTGAAAGGGGATACTTATACCTATGGTATGAGGACATTGGGCCTAGGTGGCTAGAGCTCAAAGTAGCAAGGCTAGGGCTGACGCCTTAGGTCGAGTTGAGTTGCTAGTCAACAAGCCAATCGGAGGATGACAAGTCAACATTTCCATGTGCTAGCAAGTGGTCAACTGAGGTGGCTAAGTTGATGTGGAGCTCGAGAATTTAGGTCGACTCCCCACGTCAGCTCAACCAAATTGACCCCGTTTGATAGATGACTTGTACTTTGGGGTGAAGGTCCATTTTGCCCTTTGGACCATAAAATGTACCTAACACTAACCATTTGACTTTACATACCCTAGCATGTGTAATTAATCATCTAACTAAATTAATGGATAACCGGAATAAAAAGAGTTCAAGAATTTCACCCCCAATGAACTTAGCAAGCGTAATAGAACTATGAATATAAGCACACCTTAGAAACTAAAAAATGGAACCGATTGAACCAATCTATATTATAAAAAAATTCTTTTCAGATAATCAATCATTCCAATAAGAAAGATCAACCAACGTAAAAGCTTGAAGCTAACAAAGCAAAACCTAAAACCCAAAACATGAATATAAGTGATAGTAGATATGTTTCAGATCAAGATAACCAAAACCCAAAATCCAAAATAAGAAAAAAAAAAAAGATGAATTGCTAGAAGCAGATAAAGATAAAGGGTAGATCTGAAGCAGGGATTGACAGTCAGTGGCCTTTATGGGGAGCAGAAAATTGAGTTAGGTTTAAAAAGGAACAGGTAGAAAATTGGCGGCTACTTAGGCAGACATAGCGGTGGTAGCTAGCCAAATTTTGAGCTAGGTGCTGGTAGTTGTTTTAAGAAGATGAAATAGAGAGAGAATGGAGGATCATGGAATTAAATAGAATCTGCAATGCGATATAGCGCTCATTATTCAGTGGAAGCACCATCCTTCACTATCGTTATTTAACACAATGGAGGTGTGAATCATTATTCACACAAATAAAGGTATATTGCATTTGCAAATAGCGATATAACGGAAACTTACGGTCATAACGAGATGTTAAGATTAAAATATCATAAATTACTTTAAATATTACCATGATCAAATTATTCTTTTGCTTCATTTTATGGTAAATTGTGAAAATTTTAAAAAAAATTAACAATCGCAATAAGCGTATTATTGCTATCTTATCAGTTATATTCGTAACCATAATAAACGTAACGTAACCGAAAATATAATTGCGATGCATTTTAAATCTATAGAGAAATAGTATGCAGATAAAAAAGGAAAGGAAGAAATGAGAAAAAATAATAATTTTTGGTTTTTACAAAGGCTGGCGGGTACTAAAATGACATGGGCATCCATGTGCCAGATATGTCATTGCCAAGTGGGTGCCAAATTGGTTGTAGTCCACATAAGCACCATTAGTTAACGGCGTTAACGAAATGGATTACATTGATACTCGAATTGATAGTATGGACACCACATTGCACATTTTAGAAATACAGGTATCACATTAGACAATTTCCTATAGTACAGGGGCCAAATATGATATTACCATTTTTCGAAACATAGAAACACATTTCCCTTTTCTTTTTTTTTCTTTGGTTGAAAAGCAAGGTATAGCATGATAGTTTATTCGCATAAAAGAGATTTGCACAACTACATGGTAGATAAATGCTTTAATCTGTAAAACAAACTATTGACAGATTTCTTTTTAGTAAGATTCTTAGAAGGGCAAGATTACTTTGGACAAAAGAAACCCAACACATGAATAAAGGTTTTCCTAGTAAAGAATCATGTAACTTGGAAAAAAGGATTAGCAATCTAATGAGGCACTCACCTTAAATAACTTTCCCCTTCGTTAAGGCCCTTATCTAAGTGCGAAAAATGAATGCTTCATTGAACAGGCCTTAAGGATTCTAAGGTTCTCTTTTTGTGCTTTGCTTCATTAGAATGCCAAAGTAAGAATATAGGATACTATTGCTACATTCAGACAGGATGACCGGTAGCTAAAGTATTAGAATACTACAAGATCATGGCTAAGCTGGGATTAATTCATATAAACATATTATAATAATATAAGATCATGGCAGGATTTATGGACTAAACCTATTTATTAGAAAGTTATAAAGTTTTAACTATTAGTTTGTTTAAGAGAAGTGGACAACTCAAACTGACATTGGTCTTTCTAAAAGATATTTTGCTTGCAAGATAGGGGACCATTCTACACTGTCATACTTCCCATGTAACCAAATAAGCATTAGCCATTTCCCATTAGTTCAATTTCATGTTCTTTTTTATTATTTGAGACATGTATTGCAAGGTTACCTTGTAAATATGATAACTGCTACTTACATTACTCACTGAAGTAAGCTTCTTGGGACATGGGCATTTTTTTTCACAATGCTTATTGGTTCATCACTAACTGCCCCTGAAATTTTAACTCCTCATTTCAGGTCTATGCTTGATACAACACTTCTCCTCCTTAACTTCTCAATATCTAAAGAAATCATTCTGCTAACCCCTTGGTTTTACTTGAGATTGTAGATTCAATCTTACATAGTGTCTTTGCACATCCCTTGAGCTTGGTAAAAAGGTGCCTAATACACTTCACTAAGTTCTCCCTCATTTTTTCACATTACTTACTATGCATGACACCTAATCCTCTTAAAATTAAAATAACTTTCATGAAAACAAGTAATAAAATTTAACATCAATAATATGGAAAGCTTGAAAAGCCAAATACTAAAAGGGCATTTGGTTTGTGGATTCTTAGATTTCGGGAGGGAAAGTAATTTAGGGAAAAAGTGATATTAAAGGAGAATGTGTGATTCTTGGGTTCTATTGACTTAAGAAATGTAAGATTTTTGTGTTTGGTTCATAGGAATCTAAGATTAGCTAATAAAGTTTTTTACTATATTATCCTTAATAACAAGTGAAAAACACGTGATATTCACAATACTGACATGTGAATAATACATAATAAATGAATAACATGTTGTTTTTGTTGAAACTAAATAATTTTGAAAAATAATTTTTTTATATTTTTAACAAATATAATCTTGCAATTCTAATTACAATCTTAACATTGATTATCCTTATGTAAAGAAAATATGCAAATTGACCTTAAATTTTATATGTAATAATATTAAATAAAGTATTTTACATTTTATTTTTCTCATAGTTTCATCAAAAACTACGTTTTTATCTTGAAGCGTTATCTTTTCAACAAAGACTACATTTTTTATCTTAGAAATAATATTTTTGTTCAATTTTGAATTCTTTTTTTTTATTTCAATAACATTGCGTTTTTATCTTAAAAAAGTCATCTTTTTAACAAAGATTGCTTCTTTATCTTAGAAATATTATATTTATTAAATTTTGAAAAATACTTTTTTCATATTTTCAACAAAGACTGTATTTTTATCTTTGAAATTTTGCGTTTTCAACAAAACACTATTTTTTTATCTTAAAAACATCCTTATTAAATTCTAAAAAATAACTTTTCATATTTTCAACAAAAATTACATTTTTATCTTAAAAACACTATTTTTTTAACAAAGATTGCATTTTTATCTTTAAGATGTCGTTTTTGTTAAATTTTGAAAAGATAATTTTCTTACATTTTTAACAAAGGCTACGTTTTTTTTTTGCCTTACAAACATTGCTTTTGTTGAATTATAAAAATAATTTTTTTTATTTTTTCAATAAAAATCGTGTTTTTAATCATAACTTTTGCGAGGAGTTCAATAGCATTATGTTAAAAACATAATTTTTGTTTAAAATATATTAAGAAAAAAAAATTTTCATAATATTTTATAAAAAAAATTACTACGTTTCTAAAGTAAATAATGTGGTTTATATAATCTGAAAATACAATTGAGGACAAACAAGGAAAAATTTTCACTTTTCCCTTGGAATCTTAAAAAACCTCAGGAATAGGAAAGTTTTTTATTCCCTTACTTTCTCACTTCTTGACACGGTTGGAAATCTTAAAAAATCTTAGGAATCCCATTCCTGTGGACCAAACCAAGTAATCAAATTACAAAAAGTAAGATTCCATAAAAGAAAGTTACTTTCCCCCAACCAAACACCCCCTAAGAAGTTCTCCATACCATAGGTGGCACAATGCCACTTGTAAGAAAATATCAAGATGTGAGATATCAATTCTCATTTCTCATTGAATTATGATTTATGATCAGACTATGAATCATACACGCATTGTTCCTAAATGAAAACCATTTCATTTACTAGATCTAGTATATAGGTAATTGAGGGATTAGCTTCGTGTTTCAGATCAAGGTCCTGAAGTAATAGAAGAATCCCTTTTGGGCACATATGAACAATTTGAATTAAGGCACATGGGCAAACAAGTGTGAGTACAGATGTCTCATAAGATGAATGTCATGATCTAAAAAAAAAATCCAATTTAAAAAAAGAAACAGTAAACAAGGCACCAATATATTAAGACATCTATTTTTCAATAGATGTAATTTCAAAATTTTTTCTAGCAATGTCAACCACATTTTAATACATGTAAGTAGGTTTCCCTAGTGATATGCAGTGCTATTGGGGGTATCATGCACGCTGAGGCACAGATACATGCTCCTTGGGTATCAAGTACCAAAATTGTTTAGAAATAGAGCATAGGGCAATTTGATCCCCTCCAAATTTGTGCCAAACATTTCCTAAGACAGCAATGGAAACAAAATATTTCTCCATTTTGAAGAAAGAGCTAGAAATTCATATGATTCTTTATTAAGAACTCTCTCATTTTCATCCTTTTTGTTAATTATAGGTTAGGCATTTAACATGATATGAAAATACACCAAAGTCATGATCATAAAACTGAGAAACGAAAAATTACCTTCGAGAAAGCAAGTCCCTTCTTGTACCATATAAATTCCACTAGGACAATCAATGGTGTAATAGCAATCTTAGCCATCTGATAGAATCCCACACTAGAAAAAAAAATGAATTAAGGAATAATCCTGAAGTTTCACCCAGGAAACTTCAATTAGTTGTTAACTTATTATCTCACCTATTGTACTTCAAGCTGACATTAGCAAGGCCAGTAGAAACAGAATTAACACAGCCAAAAGTAAATAAAGATGAAGGGGCCAACTTTGAGGAGGGCGATGCAGGGAGGATAGAAAAGAAATTCAAAATCGCCATTAATGCCCAGCTGACTGCATAGTGAATAACAGTCAGAAATACTGGGAACTGGAACCCGACATTTTTAAGAACCTGAATGAAGAAAAAAAAGTGGAGCAGTTACATGCTAGAAATGCTGCTACGTCTAAAACCAACGAAGTAGATAAAATATTATGTTAGATACAGGAAACTTAAGCATACAGACCCATTTGTTCATGAAAATGATGCCAACAGCAACCACTAAATTGAACGTAAGAGCAGCAAGAGGGCCACAAATTCGTTGTTGTTGATGGTTTGCACTTTCATATGAATGCAACTTGTTAAACAAAGAAGCTTGATTGTTCTCCTCACCTCTTCCTTTGATCCAAATAAAGAAAAAAAGGAAACAAAATGAAATGTTCAGAGATTTAAGATTTGTTAATGTAATTGATAGCATTTACAAATATTAAAAAGGTTATTGCATCCATTGGCCAGAATATGACAACTAACAAGGTTGGGGTTATGAGGTGGAGTTGAACAAATGAGATTCTTTAAATGGCTTCAATAGATTATGTTGATAAATAAACTTCCAAACACCCAAAGTAACTTTAGACAAAAACGGAAATTCTTGTTCTACTTATTATGTTGGGAGAATTGAATATGCTTAAGCTACAATTAAAAGCTAAAAGCTATTAAATACACTAAATTGGAAAACTCTATACAAACATTAAATGGACCAACCAAACCAAAATTGAAGAAGATATATCTCCAGCGTTATGGAAGTAAACAAAGGATGAAATTAAAGTTATTCTCTAAATTCCAAGGCTTTAAACATTATTAAAAATCAAAGCCATCAGAGTTATAGAGTGGTTCATGTGTTTGTCATTAGCACCGACTAACTAAACACCGGTATATAAAGTTTTTCCTTCTTCGGTACTGGGTAGATATGAAAACCCACTAGAGACTTGTGATAAATAATGGAAGCTACGATTACCAACCCCTAAACGACTAAACCACAACTTCCTCCCCAAAATTCAAACCTGAAACTTCCATATTGGAATCTTAAGTTCTAAACGCTGATGTGTCCCTTTGAAGGCACTATTATACAAAATTTGATCCAATAAAAATTACAACATCTCATCCAAAATTCAAAAATAAATTTATAAAAACTAACAGTGATCAATTAAATGCTAATAAAGAACAGGTTAAAAACAGAGTTTTAGATTCTCATAACATGTAGACAATATAAACAAATGGCAAGGTTAACTGTTCAAACAAAAGCACAAAAAAGATGATATAAACTTCCATTTCTCACTGGTCTAGCAAATGACTGAACCAACCAAAACTGGCAAATTAATAACTTAACAGCAAGCGAATTTCTAAGTAAAAAGGAAACATACAATCGAAAACAAAAAAGGAAAAATAAAAATACAGCTAAAAGTAACTGTTTTAGGGTTCATTGTAGTACCTGCTTTGGCAACATCATGAGTGTTTGGCTTCCTCACATATTTACTAAACAAATGACCCAAAATCTGAGGAATGCGCTGCATGTCTCCTCTTCAAGTTTTGGTGCGTTACTATTGTCCAACTCCCTTGTTTTACAATGAGCATACGCAGAATTCGTTGCTATTGCAAGTGGTTTTTGAGTTCAAATACAAAGAAAGGAAGCACTATGTTGACCAGCCGTCCGAGGTCTTTGCTTTACTTATTTTTAAATTCTTTTGGTTTTGATTTAGGCCATGGATAGTCACGGCACGATTGGGTAAGTGTTAATGCTGTCATCACAAAGTAAGTGGAATAATACGAATGGCACGCAACCTCATGTTAACAATTTATAAAAATAAAATTATATTAAACAAATTTATTTATAAAATATTTAAATTATAGGCGGATAAATTTATAATTCTTTCAATTCATTTTGAAAACAAAATATATTATATGTTCTTCGTACCAAAAAAAAAATCAACAAAACTATATTACTATAAAGAAAAAGATCATTAAAAATAAACTATTAAGGTAAAAAAATTGATACTTAATCTTGTATTTTATAATTTTTTTGTGTGTACTTTTAATAGTAGAATTGTAAATTTCAATATTTTTATTTAATAAATTTTATCGAATTATGCAAAATATGTCTTTTTTATTTTATTTTACTTATATTTATTCAACTTATTATTTTTAATAATAGATAAAAAATTTTAAAAATAATAAAAGTTTTGAAAAACTATTAACGATCCTTGCTTGGCATGACTTGCACGAAAAAGAATGTCGTGCTTGGCATAGCATGGCACATGTAAGTTATGGGTCATGTGCTGTAATAGGCCGTAACCTTAGTTTTCATGAGTTGTGCTAGAATGATCTGTTAAAAAATAATATTAGGCTAATACAATTCATTAATATAAACTAATATTTAAATAATTGTACCGATAGGATTTGACTAATTTGGTATCTCTACAATTCAAATTGGTTTTTATCAATTTCCACTCAAGGAGCGTTTGGTTGGGATCACTTTCTCCCAAATTATTTTTTCTTTTAGAATCTAACTTTTAGTCATTTGATTCTTTGGCTCAAAAACTTTTCCTCATGTTAGGAATCTTACAATCCTAACAGTGTCAAAACGAGGGAAAGTAAGGAAAATAAAAAACTCTCTTACTTAGAGGTTTTTTAGATTTTTTAAGAAAAGTGAAAATTTTACCACATTTGTCTATATTTAATTGTATTTTCAAACTATATAAATAACATTTTTTACTTTAGAAATGTAATAATTTTATATGTTATTTTTTATTTAATTTTCAAAATTCAACAAAAATAACTTTTCTAAAATAAAAATGCTATCTTTTTTTAAAATATGAAATTTTTATTTTTTAAAATTTAATAAAGACAATGTTTTTAAGATACAAAATGCGATCTTTGTTGAAAATATGAAAAATTATTTTTTAAAATTCAACAAAGATGATGTTTTTAAAATAAAAATCATAGTTTTTGTTAAAACTATGAAAAAAGTTTTTCAAAATTTTTAAATTTCAACGAAGATGTCATTTTTAAGGTTAAAAACATGGGCTTTATCGAAAATATGAAAAAAATTATGGTATGATAAAATTTTATTATTACATATATTTTATGTGCAATAAACCTAAAATACTTACTTAAATAATTTAAAAAAAATATTAAATGAATAATTTACATATTAAATAAATAAAATTTTAAATAAATCAATTTTTTTTTTTTTTCAGAATTCTTAAATTTCAATGAAGATAACATTTTTAAGGTTAAAAATACGTTCTTAATTGAAAATATAAAAAAAATTATGTTATGATAAAAGTTCATTCTTACATTTATTTTATGTGCAATAAACCTAAAATGCTTTTACTTAAATAATTTAACAAAAATATTAAATGAATAATTTGCATGTTACATAAATAAAATTTTAAATAAATTAGCCGTTTATTCACGTGTCACCAAAGACAATATAAAAAAAAATATTTTATTAGGTAATCTTATATTTTTCTAAACAAATACACAAATTTTATATTCTTTAAAATCAACAAAACTCAAAATCATACATTTTCTTTTAATATCACATTTTTCTAAAGTCACTTTTTTTTTATCAAAATCTAAATATCAGTGAACCAAACACCCCTTTTAAGGCTCCATTTGTTTTACAAAAAATGATTTTCTCATTTTCAAGTGTTTATTTGGTGAAAAACTAACTAGTTACTGAAAAATGACTTATTGGTCAAAGGAAAATGAAGTCATTTTTTTGAAAATTGCCTTACGGATTTTAAGGCATTTTCTGAAAAAGAACTATTTATGAGTAGAACTATTTATTAATACTTTTGAGCATAATTTTACTTATAAATAATATTATACTAATAAATAATATACTATTAATATAATTATCAATATATAATATTAAAAATAATATTATAATATAATAATAAATAATATATTAATATATTAATAAATAATAATATATTAAGAAATAATATTATAATATATTAATAAATAATATATTATTAATAAATAATATACTATTAATATAATATATTAATAAATATTATTAATAAATAATATTTTAATAAATAATATAAAGAATAATAAATAATTTTATTTTAAGTATTTTTATATTAACATAATATTTTAATATTAAATATTATTATTAAAGTATAATTATTTTTTAATATTAATAATTTTAATAATAAATAACTTGAATACATTTTAATAATAAATACTTTTTAATATTTTAATAGTTATATTAATATTATTTGAAAAAAATAGATTTTTTAGAAAATAACCAAACAATAAAAAACATTTTTATTAACTTATCCAAATAACAAAAAATCTCTTTCAGTTCAGAAAATGTAAACATTTTTTATAAATAATTTTTTGAAAGTCATTTTTTGTAAAATAAATTGAGCCTAAATAAAAAATTTTCTCATATACTTTTATCACACTAAAGCAAACATGCATTAAATTGGCAAATACAAGTAGACATACGTTACTCTTAATAACATAATATATAATATAGTAAACTAGATACGACACATTGATGATGTTGGTGAAAATTGGAAAAATAAAAATGAATAAAAAATTGTTTGGAAAAATAAAAGTTATTTGATGTCAGATTCAGATGTGTTGGTATTTTTTTTTATTTTAAACTAAAAATAGCCACTCACTACTTTGGGTAAATTATTTTTCTATCAAATTATTATTATTATTATTTATTAATTTTTTATTATTTTAAATATATTTATAATTATTTTTATGTAAAAAATAAAAAATCAAATAAATAAGATATTAAATTATATAGTATTTTGTATATTGCAATTATATTTTTTGTTAATTTTTATACTATATTTTGATCGTTGAATTTTTATTAATAATTTGGTCAAATGTATCATTTTTAATTTATTATAGTTTACAAAATTTATTTGTAAAAATATTTAAAACAAAATAAAAAATAATTTAATTTTTTATTATGTCTCTTTACATTTATATTTGTCATATTATATTTTTATGTTATTATAGTAATTTAATATGTAGTTAAATTTTATGTAATTAATTTAATATATAATTTAATATGGGTATTATAGTAATTTTCATAAAATACCTCATGTCAAATTTCTATGACGTAATGGCAGTATGATTTTAATAATGTAGTATGCGGTTAATTTTATATTATGCTAAAATTTAATATGTAATTATAAGAAATTAAAAGGGTATTTTCATAATAATGATAAAAGAAGTATTATAATATTTTAGTCAATTATGGTAGGAGTGGTATTTTTGTAGATATAAGAATATTATAGTAATTTTATCCCATTATAATAGAAGGGCATTATAATAAATTTATTTAATTATGGTAGGAATGCATGCCCATAATTATTGTAAGAGAAGCATTATAGTAATTTTAATTAATTATGGTAGGAATGATACTTTTATAATTATGGTAAAAGAGACAGTAAATTTGACTAATTATAATAAGAAGAATATTTTTATAATTAAGTCAAGAAGTTCATTATAGTAATTTGCCCATTTATGAAATGGGCATTTTCATCATTTATGAAAGAATGGGGTATTTTAATCATTTTAGCCACATGCCACTCCCTCAATAAATCATGAGAGGGGCATAAAGTAATCTCTCGTGAAGATTAAGTAATCTCTCGTGAAGATTAGAGGATACTTATATAGATATATAAATATAGTTATAAACTTTAAATGATAGTTAAAAACCTTTTTGTAAAAATATTTAAAACAAAATAAACAATAATTTAATTTTTTTTATTATGTCTCTTTATATTTATATTTATCATATTATATATTTTTTATTTTATTATAGTAATTTAATTTGTAATTAAGTTTTATGTAATTAATTTAATTTGTAAAATAATAAGGGTATTACAATAATTTTCATAAAATCCTCATATCAAAATTTCATGAAATAATGACAATGTCATTTTAGTAATTTAATATAATTTACTATTATATTAAAATTTAGAATGTAATTATGAAGTAATCACAAAGAAATTTCCATAATTATAATAGGAGCATTATAGTAATTTTAGTCAACTATGGTAGGAGGGCATTTTCATATTTATGGTAAAAAATGTATTATAGAAATTTTGTCCGATTATAATAGGAGGATATTTCTATAATTACGGTAATAGGGACATCATAGTAATTTTATCTAATTATGGTAAAATGGACATTTTCATAATTATGATAAAATAGAAATTATGTAATTTGATCAATTATTATAAGAGAAGCATTTTTATAATTACGATAAAATGGATATTATAATAATTTGATCATTTATGAGAGATGTTTTTTCATCATTTATGAAAGAAGGGACATTTTCATCATTTTTGTCATATGTCACTTTCACATTAGGTTAAAGTAATGTTGATAGTTATATAGATATCCTTGCTTGCATTTTCATTATTATAATTTTAAATTAATTTTTAAGTAAATTAATTGATTGGACCAGTGTCTGGTTAATTTGTGCACCAATTTATGCACCAATTTAGTCAATCACTTTAATGTAAGTATAAATTATAATTTCTTTTGAAATGTATAAATTTTAAATGACAAAAATGGTATATATATATATATATAATTATATGAACCAATGATTTAAAGAAACATTCAATAAAAACTAATTTAATCAATCCTAAAAATATTATAAAGAATCTACACCATTGATTAGTAGATATATATATATGATCTTATTAAAATTAATACAAAATAATCAATAATTTATTCAAAAATATAAAA